CAATCCCGCGAGAATAAAATTCTCCAAGATTACATGTTCCATGAATATGCCCCATATCGGCACATTTTTGACAGTATATGATTGCCTTACGCATGTCTTTTTCAACGCCACTTCCGTGCATATAGAAAATGCTTGTATCAAAGGCTCCGTCTGAGTGACCCATATCAGCAGACTTTTTATAATAAGTAAATGCCTCACGAATATTTTTTTCAACTCCAATGCCTTTATGATAGCAGTAACCAACATGATACATTCCATCGGAATCATTCATGTTAGCAGATTTTTGATAATGACGGAATGCCTCATTTTCATCTTTTTCAATCCCAATTCCATGACAATAACAATTACCAACTCGAGTTATTGCATTAATATCTCCCATCTCTGCAGATCTTTTATAATGATTAAATGCCTTTTCTTCATCTTTCTCAATCCATTTACCAAAAAAATAACAAGTTGCAAAAATGCTTTGAATAGTAGGATTTGACAAATTATTTAAGCATAAATCAAATATACTATCTGATATTTTCTTATTTTTTTCTAAAACTTGACTTAATATGTCAAGAATCGATTCAGTGTTATTTCCCTTCGTTCTTTCTTTGGTATACAGGTCGCATAACTCTTCAATAAAGTTATCAAAAAAGCTCTGCATTTGATCATCATCATAGGCATTTTGTGACATTTTGAGAATATTGCAAGATGAAAAGTCGTTTATTGATTATTTATACCAAATTATCAATTTATTGAAGAATAAATATATTGTTAACGTACTTTCGGCGTAATAATTTGTTTCAGTCACTTATTTAAATCATATAAGTCAAAATTTGTAAACAAAAGTGCGATTTTATTTATAGGAATTTCAAATCCTTTAAATAAAATAGCATTTTTCCCGTGTCCCTGCTTGAAATTCACTGTAATTCTGTAATTACTCCGATTGAAGTTAGAAAAAAACCAATTCTTTATTTTAAAGTATATAACCTTCTATAACACTAAACCACATAAGGAAATTAAAATAACTATTAAGATTTCTCTTTAAAGTCGGTAATATGTTTCACTATTTTTATTTTTATATATTTCACAAATAATAGATCATGTGCACGTTTAGTGGCTAGTGATACGGGATGGTAAATGACCTGGTCATTTGCCAATATTTCAAACCTCAAATGACCTGGTCATCTGTCCTATAAAAAAAGTCTATATTCCATGTTTTTCCGTAAACGTCGCATATTCACGGAATTTATAACCTTAAATCATCGACTTGTCTAGATTTTGTAGATAATGTTGCAGATTCACGGAGTTTTCACAAAATATGGAAATATTCGGACAAACTTTTTTACAGGGCTGATGTCATTCAAATTTTGGGTCAATTGGAAATGACTCGAGACACAATGACTCGGTCATTAGCCTATAAGAAAAATGTATCGGGTTGGTTTCGGATAGGCATGGGCTTTTGTGGCATGGGTCAAGATCCGGATTTGTACGAGTATGGTCCGAGCTGGGACCCATAAAATTTTAGATATAAATTTTTCGCTAAAATTTCAAGTATCAACTCAAATTTTTCTAAAATTTTTAAATTCTAGAAAATTTATATCTAAAATTATCAAATTTAACTAAAATTTTCTAAAAATTTCATATTATATTATAGTTTGTGTTACATAGGAATGGGATGCCAATATTTCGGAATTTCGAAATAATTTGGAATTTCACAATTCTGGCCTGCATTAGCAGTAAACTTCCATAATGTGGGCCTGTGCAGGCTGTACAGTAGATTCAAAAAATATTCGATTTGCCATCCTAATGATACGCATTTATTTTTAATAAAATTTTATACAAACTTAACTTATTTAACTTTTAAGATATACAGTACATAACTAGCTTGTATTGGATATTGATGCCGGGATCTAGAAACATAAATTTATATAACTTAGTGCGATTTGATTCACAATCATTTTTATATCTGCAATAAATTAAATTACAAACTTGTGTTCTTATAATAACATTCTTCAAAACAATTGGTAAAATTTAAATATTAAAAATGCTTACAATATTGTATTTTTACAAAAAAAAAAGAATGAACTTACAGTATAAAATTTCTAAGTTTAAATCAGAATATATTAAATTTAAGTCAAAATTTATCTAAAATTTATTAAAGTAATCTAAATTCGCCGAAATTTTTGGTGTTATCGGAAAAAATGTTGAGTTTTTAAAACCAAAATTTTACGGGTCCCAGGTATGACCTACTTAAGTCATTTGGGCTGTGAAATGGCTAATGACTGGTCATTTGTCATTTGAATCATTTGAGTCATTTAAAGTCATTTACCACCCCTGGGCCCAACGGCCGGGCCAATAAATAAATAAAAGAAGTGAATCTCTTATACTGGCCAAAAATCAGCCAATCATAAATAAAAATATAACATTTAGATGATAAATTATCAAACAACTAATATAAGAAATGGAAATTCCTGACATGTTCAAGTGCATAGGCAATTAATCAACATTAAAGGCAAAAAAAAAGAATAAAACTAAATGATTTTAGTATACTGGAATTTGGTAAGGAACTATTTCTACACTTTTTATTAAATATCGAGACTAGTTCTTAGTAGAAAAATTTATATTAGAAAAAAAGTTCGGCTTAGTCGCCAGCCCGAGCTTTTTTAGGATCGATCCCGGCCCATGATTTTTTATCGACCCTATATATTTTTTCATGCTATTTTGTTTCCAATTTGCATCTACATTTATTATAAAAATATTGAAAATATAGCAAAACATGCATTTTAGGAAATATTTAATGCATATACTTGCAGTAAGGTTAAAATCTTCTTGGCTAATTCTAAATCTATATTATTTATAAAATTAAAATAAACTCTTCTAGATGACTGTGATCACATTTTGTTGAGTATCTGTTTTCTACTATTAATATATACCGTGACTATCTGAATTTCTCTAACAATCTTTGTTTGAAATACTTTAATTATTCTGGTACTAGGTAAGGTTTTATGGATAACTGCTACATTGGCCATATACTTGAAAGTTTATCTAGTTTTGTTTTGCTTTTTCCAATTTATTATGCTCTTAAATTAATTCTATTTTTGATACCTTGAGTTGGTCTAAGATGAAATTTTTTGTTGTAAAAGTATGTAGCTGTTGGTATAATTGATTAGAGAAGTAAAAATTGCATTTTCATTTATTAGAATTATGAATTTGATATTTTCTTTTTCAACCAAATCTTTAAACTTATTGCACGCACATTGTGATCAAATAATATAACAAATCATGTACTTTGTGAAGTGCGGATTTGAGACGACTAGCTCTTATAGAAAACCTGAAATGAAGGCTGCGCGAAAGATAGCGTGGATGATTTGGTCCAAAAACAAGGACCATAGTGCCACTAGAATCGGTGTTTAAAATCAATGTGCGCAATATGCTCAATGCACATTTATTTTTATTTACATATAAATTTTGCATTGTGCACGTTGTGCACATGTTTATACATATCAGATATATTTTGTAGTTCAGATTTTATACACTGACTAGAATCCTGGAGGTGTTAGACGGGGCTTTATTAATTAGGATTCTTAGTTGCATGAAATCGATTAGCCTTTATACATTACGAATTACGTTGAGGCTTGCTATTACGATTAAAATTTCAGCAATAAGACTAATTAAGGTATCGGAGAATTCTATGAATAACGGTGAGTAATTCGTGCTCATTTACACGCCTATGAATTTCCTAGGTACTTTTCTATTGTTTTTAATTTTTTTAATTGGACTTTGCACGAGCCAAAAACCCGAATTAGCCTTTATTAAATGTCTCTTCGATGCGCATATTTTAGATAACGATCTGTTGGTCATGTGCCTGCGTCCGAGTTACAACGCACACTACGTTGTTACACAAAATTTTAATAAATTTGCTATATCATTAATTATTAATGCTGATTCTGTAGATAGCAACAACGTATTATTTTTAGAACACTTATATGAAATTAACTTTTTTGATGCTCTTGAGGAAGTCCGTTACTATATTTGAATCTCATTTATTTACTAAATACGTACGTATGTATGACGTATTAAGCCAAAGATATATCCTTTTTTAGCTACTCATTATAAGCTTCAGATGTATATTGTAACAATTAATTTTTCTTGTATCTCTTCATTTCCGTATTTGTCATTCTTTAACGTTAAGTTGTCACTTACCGTTACGTTCCATAATTGTACTATCATAGCCATGTTAATCTTACTTTAATAGTATTAGGCATTATAATGTATTGTTGGAGGCTTAGTTCATGCAACCATGAATACTCAGTGGTTGTAGCGAGTACGCTGTGGTTACCGCGAATACGCGGAAACTACTGTGAGTACGCTGTAGTCATTATGATCACGCTCTAAAAAATTGTCATGTATATAAGTGCTTGCTCTCATCCTTAGTTGAGGATAATATTCGCTCTCAAAATTCCTCTCCTAAATAAAGATAACATAAGTTCACATTCTTTTTTATTATAAATGCCTAATAAATTCTAAATATCTGAATATCTAATTAATTGCCCAATTCATGTGACCCTTCTAACGTTAACCATCGGAGTTAAATTCGGCATGACAATACCAAGCTCTCCCTTACGATGGTTACAATTTCCACACTGTGTTAGCTTAGTTAAATTTTGGTAATGCGGTACTCGGGATCGAAATAGTCGATCGTACACTTCAAAAAACAAGCAATACTACTCTGATTTATTTTTAAATCTCAGTCAATTAACTCACGTAAATCTGTGGTTTAGAAAAATAGAGTAAGAGGATGGTGCTTAATTTCGGAAAATTTATAGTTTTCATTAGAAAAAAAAAATCTAGATATCGATATAATCATAATATTTTATATATTTATTTCAAGAAACAAAAAAATGAAATGAATACAGTAATAATTTAAAGTTATATAATAACATAATTTATAGGTATAAGCATTTACATTGTATTTTAATAATTTAATACTAAAAATTCAACAGTAATTCACTTTATTTTCCAATATATTTTGCAGCCTGTATCCACAAAAGACTCGGATCTCTAATACTCCGCTCATCATAATATAATTGATAGTCAGCAGGTCTAAAAGCATAATCCATAACTTCATTCGGATTTTTAATACTGTAAGCTTCCGCTATAGTAAAACCCAAAGTTAAATTTGGGGGAAATGATAATTTAGAAATTAAAGAACTGTCAAGATTTTTAAGTAGTTTGAGTAGAGTTTTAATATTAGTAGTAGCTGTTGAGGCTCCAACAGCATATTGTGCAAAAGAAAACCGAGTATTCGGAAATCCACCAACGACTACGGTGGGAACATTAATTTCAGCTAATCTTTGAGTTATAATTGCACATGATGATTGACATAATCCATTTGTCAAAATTATGATATCTTTTTCAGTCCAAGGAAGTTTTGGAGGAGTTGGAAGTTTTAAAATTCCACTGTATTGTGTCGTATTATTAAAAAATGCTTTTGAAGTATATTTAACCTGAACACCACCACGAGTATATGTGTTATTTCCAATAAGGTCAGTAACACTATCAAATGAAGTGTTTGTCTTTGCAGAAATAAAAGTCTTATAACTAAATAAAGATCCGATTCCTTTTTTAAGCTTTGAAATTTCTTTGATAAGTGGAATAGAAACATCATTAACCTTAAAATCCATCGGAAAGTTTTTTATATTTGGAAATAAGAGTTTATTTATATAGTGTGCAACAAAAATTAGGCCACCACCATTATTACTTAAATCTAAAACAATCTGGTACAATAAAATATTTTTAGTATTTTATTAATACTGTAGCTTTAATATAAAAATTTACTATTTAACATACCTTTTTTATACCTTTGTCGGCAAGTAATTTAAATCCAACAGCTATATCTGACAGAAAACGATATTCAAGAGTAGAGTCACTATTTAAAATATCTTCAGTTGAAATTAAGACCACGCCAAAATCTCGTAATGCATAAAATCTGGCAACGAATGCATCAAAGATCAAGGTTGCTTTTCCGACTGATGTTCCAGTAATGTAAGGAGATTTATATTGCACATTTTTAATAAAAACTTTCCATTCTCGAGTAATTTTAGAAATTTTACCATTGCAATTTAGTGTATAAGAAGTACTTGGGCTTTTTGGTAATTGATTTCTTAATGTGAATGATGTACCACTTATACCAAAATCACCATTTCCAAAAGCAAGCGATGCAAGGGCTGAATTAAATCGAGAACTCAAATCTCTCGACCGATGTGTATAATTTCTTGCAAATTCGATAATTACATCAATCGCTGGTCTGCCATCTATCTTTATAACCTGACAATCATTGATGCTAGGATCTTTTAAGTCATTAAAAACTTTAATTTGCTAAAGTAACAAATTAATTAGTACAGTATGAATATATTTATTTATTTTGTTTATTGTGTTTATTGTGTTTTAAAATAATGTATTTAACCATTTACCTGCGTTCCATCTTTTTTAATCACCGAGTACATAGAAAATCCCTGATAAAAATTGTATTTGTTATAATAGTCAGAATAAAGGCTGTAAAAGAATATGAAATTTATTACTAATATTTCTACAATAATCTTAAATAATTGATTGATCTAAGTAATTGGGTAATCGAGATAGCTTACGTGGTGTGTCCATCTCTCAATTCTCCAATAAGATTTTCAACATCGTACTAATACATAAAAAATTATAAGTAATTTTGTAGTATTATAATTATATACGATATATTTAAAATTAGATATTTACAATAAACTGAAATTCATATGAATAATTATTGTTTAAAACCAAATCTAATTCAGATATTATATCAATAGGTCTTAAATCAAATCCTGGATTTGATTCTTCTTTTGCCTGATCTAGTAACGCATAAAATGCTTTAAGATATTCTTTCACAGCCTCTATTGCCTAATATATAATTTTAATTAAACATTAATTATTAAGTTTATGTTTTATTCATTAGCTCAAAGTTAGAAATACCTGAATTGCTTTTGTTTTATTGTACGGTGTTGATTCATAACAAGCTTTTATGTCCGAATAATTAAGAAATTGTTCATTTGAATAAAGTGAATTAACATATTCATCAAGCTTATCACAAATATTTATGGTTTCTTTGCGTGGAATCAATTGTGAATAAACAACATTAATAAATACAATAAGTATGAATGTTATAAGATAGTTCGTTTTCATTTTTTATAAGAAATTATGAATTATTTGATTAAACTTAATTTGGCTTAAACTTAATTTGGCTCTAATACCTAACTGGAAAGTTGCAAATCTATTCCGTTTTATAGCTTTAAGAATATTTATAAATTTCATTGAGTTTAATAATATTATTTCTAAAATATAAATAACTAAAATTATAATTTCTAAAAAAGGAATTCTATTCCTATTTATGACTTTGCAAAAAAACGCCACAAATATCTTTTTTCCCGCTTTTATATTTGTGCCTACTTTGTCTATATTAGTACGTAACATGTTAGATGCGGAATGTCTTATTTTAAAAACTGAATAGATAAATTTATTGTTTTAAGAACAACTATGCCTTTTTGAGCTGAATTTATAATACTCATTCAGAGTATACTAATGAAAATTTTGTACGAGATAGTTAGAAGATTGTACTGTGAATCAAAACTATAGTGGTATCATATAAAAATCTATTATTGAAGATTTTTTTTTACACCTAACGTACAATATAACACATTAACCTTGATAGCTTATTTAATATTACCATTAATATGCTGATATTTGATTACTATTATTAAAGAATAGTTAGCTGGTATATGATTGCTATTAATATTATTAATAAATAAACATTTTTAGACAAAGGGGACAATTTATATTACTGTTGAACCTCTCAAAACCGATATGCATGATAGACAAATTTAGTAACATTATTGGGAGGTTAGAGTTGAAAACATAATGATTTATAGGATTTATAATAACGGAAACGGACTTGGTTGATTAATTTTTTACCAAATTTGACTGTTTATCGACTTTTTCATGATACGTTTTGGGAGTTATAACAGTATTTTATAACTTCCCACTTGTATTTATTGATTAAGGTTGTTTTATTTTATTTGAGTAGAGATGGACAAATCGCGGTTTCTCCGAAAATCCCGCACGGAATAGAATCACAAATCTGTGGGCTTCTTAATTTTTTTGTGCCTAATAAAAAACCATGCAGAAATTTTTGTTGAAAGTCAATTTTCTTGTTCTACTGTAAAATTTCAAAATTGCGGCATGGGCTTTATTTCGAAATTCAGACGGTAAATATGCTAATGCAGGCCTGATATTATACAGTAATAATGCCAGCAAAATAAATTATTTGGGGATTACGCTCTACATTTGAGTATTTAAAATAAGCTATTCAAGTTCGAGATTATAAAGCTACAATAATAAATTTTTTTGTTTTGTATATCCCTGGTTTTTCAAAATTCCAGTTAGTGAGTTTTTTTATCTAATAAAATCAATAACCTCATGTTTATATTTAAGACTACACAAAGTTAATTTTATTTGCATAAAATGAAAACAGAAATTTTCAAATTTTTTTCTATCAATCCTATCGAATAATTTTAAAAAATTAAAGTTTCCATAGTGTAATACTAGGTAAATTTGTGGGAAATAAATGAATAAATAAAAAGCAAAAATAGATTATTGGTACAATTTGGACTTGAAAAAAATGAGTCGGTGAGTTACGCAAAAAAAAAAACACAACTTTGCATGGCCTAAACTATTGAATTCATTTTTGGCTTGTTAGTATAAGATTAATTACAATCAACTATCAATAAGAGATATTTATTATAAGTATACTAGTAAAAAAACATACAACAGATTTTCAAAAAGTTTTATTAATAGACTCTAAATTCCGTTATATCGATAGTGGACTTAATAAAAGAATTTTTTTTTGAAAATTTAAAAAATAATAATTAATTTGTAGTATATAGAAAAATTTTGCAGCCATATTATCATTAATATAGTGTTAGGACTATGGTTAAGTTAGGGTTAGGTTAAAATTGTGAGAGGTGTATTTTTTTACTTAGTTACACTCTAGTAAAATTTTGTTATTATAGAAATTAAGGATATGGCCATAGCTATATGTAAATTTTTCTTTAAAAAAATGGTTTAGCAGGTAATGTAAAACAAAAAAATTTACTTTGCATAGCCTAAACCTCAACGCATACCATACTAAACTCATTTAGCATTGTAAGTGTGACTGCTAGGGAAGCAAAACAGGCTCTGTAAAAAAAATTCAATTGTATTTATTTTCCATATTATTTCCAGAAATGTATCATATTCCTGGAATTTTTATTGAAAATTTATGGAAATTACAAGGACTTACTCGCAAAATTCGGAAGAATTCCAGAAAGGTCTCAAATTAACGGAGTTTTTATTTATAAAGTGGACTTTTTTTTTTATAGGGAGGTCAGAATAATCACCACTTGAAACAACACACAAAAAAGACCTAGGTAAAGCAAGTTGGTTTGTCATGGGTACGATTATGAGGGGTATAAATGAAAGATATTTAGAGTAGAATGGTATTGATTTTTATTAAATTGAATCCAGAATTTTTGTTATTTGAAACTCGAACTACACTGTTTTACAACTCAAACAAATCGCTACTCTATTTATACAAAAATAAAAAGGACAAAAAGAAAGAAAAACAAAAGGAATTTATGGTCTCGTCCCTCATTCCATCACACTACTGCTTCTGATTTCTTCATTTTTTCTTCACAAAAATATCTGTGACATTTTTACACGGCCACCGATTTACAGTACTTTATTTATCTCTTTAATTACATCATTGCCCTTTTTGACTTGGGTTGGTTCATCAGAAAGATTGGCTTTCATGAGCTTACTTCTTATGCTACATCTTTCATCCTTCTTTATTATAGTTCTGGAGCAATCTTGCCAATGCTCTTGTCTTTATCCGGCCATGATTTCTTCACGATTTCTTCTTTATCTCTTACCAATTCGGGCTTTCTTGATTTTTATGCTTTCAGACTGTTTTATTAAATCACATTTAGACGAAATTATTATAGTGACAAATTATTAATATTTGAATCAGGTCGAATTAGTTTGTATTGGTGTTAACAGTCATGAATTATCATAATTTATAAAAAAAAATTTTAGTACGAAACTTTTACTTAACATCATGACACCAATATTTGGTGAGTCGTGAATTATACCACAATTTACCATAAAAAATTTGTTAACTTATTGACGCAATACGTATGTGATTAAGGATTTATGTTTGAATTGTTATTACAGTATCGTGATTAAACAATTATTTATGAATTTGAATTGTGAAGACATTCTTGATAATAACTTGCTTACTGATATATTATTATTAACATTTTGATCACGTTTTTGTACAACTAATCAAATGTTAAAGTATACACTGACTAAACAATTGTTGATGTACGTAGGTCCCAATTGCATTTCCCATGGGTTTATCTTCCTTCTCATTGCCGCTCTTTATTAAGTTAGTGATTACTGCTTGTGGAAAGTCATTCAGCTCGTATGGGTCAAAATTTCCAATTTAAGCAGTTTTTATTATGAATAAAAATTTTTAAACCAATCATATGCAAGATTTGGCGTGGCTATTGTGATATTCCTTATGATTTGCTTATTACTTACTTATCAATTACTTATCAGTTACTTATTAGTTACTTATCATCAGTTACTTATTAGTTACTTATCAGTTTTTTATATAGTTTACTTTGTGGGTCTTATCAGTTTTTATATAAATTTTATAATCATTTTAATAATCACAAAGTTCCGACTGGACATTTTGGCCCATACGTATACTTGATTATTTGGAATTGGACTTTTTCTTATCGATGGTTTCCAGGCATCAGCATCTTTTCGATCTATTGATTCTATGTCAACGCGCAAACCAATTTTTTAAAATGGAAAAATCTAGAATTCAACCGCCTAAATATAGATAATTTTCTTAGGATTCGACTAATATATTTACGATCTTTTTTATATATCTTCTGCTTTTCTTTTCAGCTATTTGAAGCAATTGTTATTGATATTGATATTGTTCTTGCACTTGCAAGAACAATTACAAATTGAGAAAGACTATATAGAACGCTTTCAAATCCGTGAAACATTTAATTGACTTTTTTAAAACAAGTTGTAAATGTTTTAGGTAATCAAACAACAGAAACAAATTTGGCAAACGTTTCACGATTTTAAAAGAGTTGTTTAAGGGCGTTAAAATGATAAACTAATAAATTCAAATTTGGATGAGAAAATCCATAACCGTACTCTAAGTTTCGCCTTTCACAAATACAAAACCTAAAGGTTTCGCATAGCAACCATATATGGGTATTGCAAAGGGAAAACCTGTAATTTTTAATTTTCGGAAATTTCATTTTCAGAGAAGTGCTTATAAGAAGTTTTCGACAATCAAGAATTCCTGACTTCCTTTTGCGACACTATAATTTCGCCTTTAAATAATGTGCTATGCATATTTTGCATCATGTATTTTTTTTTAGAGGGTAAATTGTATTTAAATTTAGTAAATATTTGAGGGTTTAACTTTGGTATTTTTTTTTACTAATTTGATATAGAGATTTTACACTGTAGTATTGACTATTTAAATCCAGTACAGTGACTGTACAGTGCATGTTTATTTAAAAAATTTAGATGCTCACAAATAAACATTTATAAGATTTGTTTTCAATTTAGTTGGATCGCTAATTTTATTGAGTCCCGTAAATCCGTGAATAAAACATAGGATAAAAGGAAATATATGAATAATTAAAGTAATTAAAGTGGCTACCATATTGTAATTATGGGACTCGCGGAACTCAAAAAAAAAACAGATCGTTAATCCAACTAAAACGAAAAGTAATCTAATCTGGAGATAAAATGAAAATGATTCTTTGTTTCTTTGTATTGTATTTTTACTGATTTAAGAAAAATATATCATAAAATATTGGATCTAATTGTGTCTAGTTATAATTAAGTTTTTCTTTTTTTGGTAGGTGTTTTCTTTTTTAAATTTTCATATTTCTATCAATTCATTGTCTTTTTTGAACTTTCGGGTACACATAGAACAATTATTATTATCAATCAAAATATACAATGACTACCTTTTTATAATTTTATCATTTTCGAGAGTTCTATGCTTAGAAATATATATAAACATAATTTATTATTCTGTCGAACTAAGGTTCTCTTAATTACTTTTATTTTTTTTTTAAAAAAAAAAGAAGTAAATCTTTCTGTTAACCTGCTTGCTTGATTTTCTGGTTCGTTTTTCTTTTTTTTTCTTAGCATATGTTTTCTATTATTATTATTAACTATTCTATATATTTGGTATTTAGATAATGAATTCTAAAGCTTTTGGTATCTTTTGGACTCTCGTGATCATTTATTTTACTATCACTCTGGCATATTCGCCTAAACACCTCTTTCCTCGTATCACGTCTGGCTGTAATGGTACCCTTCCTTGTACAATAAAATGCGGAAGCTGCACTAGTAATACTACGTCTTGTAATTTTCCGAATCCTGACCAACCTGACTGTAATGGACAGCTATCTTCTTCTTCTTGTGGAACTCCTTTACAATGTAGCTATGATTGTGGACCTACTTGCAACGGCACTTGCACCAATTGTACTCAAATCGATGTTTATGCGCGCTGTAGCGTGTGTGCTTAGATTTGGTTTAATATTTTATTTTCAATCATGATTTTTCTTAAAGCCTTTTTTTAAAAATAATACTTTTTATGATTGTTCAAACATATAATTTATACTTGTGTAGCTGACGTTAATTTTAAAAAAAAAATTTAGGTCAAAAATTTTTTTTTTATTAATCGATTATTAATTTTTAAATTTGTATATTCTTTGGTTTACAGGCTACATATATTTAAAGCCCTGTATAAATGCTTTTCAGTCACTCTTATGGTTAATGCATTTGCTGGGTAACCAGTCAAATCTTTAGTCTGATAATCATAAGTTTTTGCTATATTTTATTTTAATTAATTATTTATTTTATTACCCTTCTTTAAAAAAAATTTTCAAATTTGTCTCAATTGTTCCATGTACAATACTGCAATAATCTTCCTTGGTATTACATAAAAATTTTATCAACATGTGACCAATGCCAAATTCTGAAATTATTCATTTTAAGTGTTATTTTTGGTTATTTGAAAATATATATTAAAATTGCTCAATAAAAATCTTTTATTAGATCATAATAATGGTTTCTTACCGTATAGTTGTAAAATTATGCTTGATGATGCGTTAATATTGGCATGAATAAATAACATATTTTTATACGTAAAATTGATTAAAGAATTTTCTTATAAATACGTATTTTACTTGAGCGTAAAAAAATTTTTTTTTACATTACTTATTCATAATCGTAATAATGGATAGTGAAGATTATTTATCTAGCAAAATTTCTCTGAGTTGCTCAAATACTTAATAACTTTGTCACTAATAAAATACATATTCTGATTGCGCCTAGCTTTTTTTATAATAGTTCCTATAGTTATATTCGTTAAGTTTGACAAACCTTTTTCTATTTAGTTCATTATATCTAGAATCGACTATATTTTTATTAATTCAACGGATTTAGTCGGATAATTTACAATACCAAGCTAAAGTGATATTTGTCTTAACGTTAATGTTAACAATTAATTATAATGAAGAATGATTAGTGTTAGAGATTATTAAATTTCCTGTTTTTTCCTTTAAAAAAGGATTACGTATTATCTGCAAGATTTTTAAGTTATAAGATACAAATTCTCACACCTGATTCTGGAAAAGCGATAACATCTTTAAAGATTAAAATGAATTTTATCAGTGTTTTACCTAGTTTATTATAAATAGCATTAATTACATATAAACAATTAACACAATCTCCCCACGTTTTGTAAAAATATTAATTATTTGATCTAATTAAAGCTCTTGCACGTATTTGCTAAATAATATATGTCAGCTACGCGTTTATTTTGATAAATTTAATAGGCAAGTTTTGTAATTTCACAGTTAAAAATCTATAGTTTTATTATAATATAAGAAGGTTAGGTTGTGATTTATATGACGAACTTTTTTTAACATAACTGAAATTTCATGATTAATTTCATTTTTTTCAAGATTGAAATAGTTCAAAGTAGTATTCATGTAAAGAACTTCTGTTAACATTTTCACACCCTTAGAATCAATTTGATTATTATAAAAGTTTAAAGAATTTAATGTTAAATTTTTATAAAGAGTCTTTGCTAATGCTTTTCCTCCCTTGAAGCCAAGCTGATTAGAGATAATATTTAAAGAAATTAAAGTATTGTTCTTGCAAAGAACTTTTTCTAACGCCTTTCCTCCTTCAGGACCAAGTCGATAAGAACAAAGATTTAAAGATTTTAGTGCGGTATTCTTGTAAAGTAAATCTGCTAATGCTTTTCCTCCTTCAAAATTAATCTGATTATTAAAAAGACCCAAAGAAGTTAAGGTATTATTCTTACAAAGTGCATTCGCTAATACCTTTACACCTTCAAAATCAATCTTATTACTATAAAGTTATAAAGAATTTAAAGTTGTATTTTTACAAAGAGCCTCTGCTAAAGCTTTTCCTCCTTTAGGGCCAAGTATATTAGAGCCAAGATTTAAATGAGTCAGTGTAGTATTCTTACAAAGTGCATCAGCTAATACCTTTTCTCCTTCCAAATCAATCCGATTATTATAAAGATATAAAGATTTTAGAGCAGTATTTTCACAAAGAGCCTCTTCTAAAGCTTTTATTCCTTTGAAACCAATTTGATTAGAACCAAAATTTAAAAGTAACAATTTAGTGTTCTTGTAAAGGACTTCCGCTAAAGCTTCTCCTTCAAAATAAAATTGATTACAATTGAAGTCAAAGTAATATTCTTACAAAGAGCCTTTGCTAATAATTTTCCTCCAATAGAACCGATATGATTATAGCCAAGATCAAAGAAGCCAGAGTTGTATTCTTGTAAAGAATTTTTACTATTTGTTCTATTCCCTTATATTTGAAATTATTCAAATCTATATAATAATTTAAAGAGACAATAATAGTGTTTTTACAAAGATTTTCAAATATAATGTTATTGTAAATAATTTCTGTAATATTTAAATGTTTAAGTTTCTTACTCGTTCGTAGAAACATTAAAATCAAAGAACATGTAATAGAATTTATGAGTTCATATTCTATTTCGCGCCCTATTTTATAATGAAGCAAACTTTTGATACCGTCATATAAACTATAGCCAATGGATACAGTATAACTTGTATAATCAAATAGTAGGTTTGAATTATTTGGAAGAATGCTTTTAAAAGGAACTAAGTTTACTTGCTCTTCGACATTTAATGCTAAAAGAAATATTTTTGTAAGTTTTTTATCGTCAAAGTGGATCAATGATTCGCTCCATAATATTGGTATAATAATTCTACACCATTTACGGTTTACAAGAAGGCAAGAATATAAACTATTGTTATTGGTATGGAGCTAAAATATTATATAAAAGCATTCATTTGATAATTCTATCATTTTAAAAGGGTTAGCGTTTACGTATTTTAGTATAAAAAATTCCGATATATGTACTGATATGTAAAGGAAATTTCGTGAAACGTATCACTGTCACCCATGGTTAAAATTCAAGGAGTCATGAAAAAATTGGCGGTCCCATGACTAATCCAACAATGATACTATCCTAATTTCGTCTGAACATTAATATTTGGTTTAATGAAAGTCTCCAAAAATTTCACTTAATAAAAAAAACTAGTTTCCATCTTCATTTTTTACTTAAATTTTTATGTTACACATTGACCTTACAATCGGAATGGTAAAAATCTTGGGACAGCCAAATTTTTGCGCTCATTATTTAACTCAAAAGGGAAAAAATCTATTTTGGATGATTTTAAGTTTACCACCAAAATAATCCAAAATGGATTAGTATATAATTAATAGTAATCATATAAAGGCAAATATTACGTATATTATAATCCTAATATGGTAAGGATAATCAAGCCAAGCATTAGTTATAAATAATTACGGGTATCGAGTATGTTTAGGAATACAATGACAGTTAATCCTGCAAACCCACCACGACCTGCCCTTCGAGCAGCTGATAAGAAAAGTTTTGCATATTTCAATGCAACACATAAATGGCGAGAAATAATTGAAAAAGGCATTAGCAATATTCGTGATTTAATTAATTCTTCAGATATTGATATAAATGAAGAGGGAAAAAAAATTATAGCTTCTATGGAAAAATTAATAAATCAAATTCAAAGAAATGATCATTTAATGTATGTTATTCTCACGAGTAGTTAAATTTTTCGTTTGATCAATCTGATCAACTTATCTTATTTAACTTTAATGTAATTGTATTATTATTAACTATAATTACCGTTTTTGAAGTCAAATCGAAGATGATGGAAGACCAGATATTATAACCTGGAATGATGCCTTAAATACTTATTTTAAAGACGAAGATTGGTTCACTACGTCTTGGCTATTCGCTGAATGTTATATATATCGTCGAATTGTTTCAATAATTACAAATACAAAACATTGGCGAAATTATGATCCTTTTTTTCGTCAAAAAGAAGAATCTTTCAAATTATCTTTTTCAGGAATAATTGAATTTTCGAAACGTATTGATGAATTAATTTCTTCAAAAGTAAAAATAGATGATAGTATAACTTTTTATGAACTTGCTAAAATATCACTTTTGGGAAATGCAACTGATTTATCTATGTTACCAAATTTTGGTGCTGATGGTAATATTCAAACAAAGCAATCTGAAGAGTTGGAAAAAAATATTTTGGCAAATGATTTGGAAAAAGCATGGAAATGGTTATCGAAATATAGTAATGCTAGAGTAGATTTTATTCTAGATAATGCTGGTAAATACAGTATTACATACAATATATATGTGTATACTTTTTTATTTTGCTGTAATTACTTTTCTGAACTTTCTTTATACTTATTTATTATTATTTTTTTTAGGGTTTGAATTATATAGCGATTTAATTTTTTCGGATTGGTTAATTCAATCAGGATACGTGTCCGAAGTTCATTTACACATAAAACTAATTCCATGGTATGTCTCAGATACAACATTAAACGATTTCCACTGGTTACTTAAAACACTTAAAAGTGATGACTTTTTTTCATCTGCTTCTGAAATTGAAAAATCCTCCCTCGAGAAACTTGTTAATCGTTGGCAATCGTATATCGATGATTCAAAATGGATCATTACTTCCGATTTTTATTGGACTTCTCCGTACTCCTTTTGGCATTTGGAAGAAAAAGCTCCTGAGTTGTATGCTGATTTATGTAAATCTCACCTTGTTATATTTAAAGGTGATTTGAATTATAGAAAGTTAGTATACGATTGTAAATGGGAGACTGTTACACCCTTTAAAGAAGCTATTGGTCCATTAGCAAATTCAAAAAATGCATTTCCGTTGTTATCTTTGAGAACCGGGAAATCAGATATATTTGTAGGACTTGATGAAGGAGTTGAAGAAAGATTAGGTCCTGATAAAAGTTGGATGTATTCCGGAAAATATGCAGTTATTCAATTTAGTGAAGGGAATAAATGAGCATTTTACATGATAGAAATCTTTCAAACTAACTTAATTATCATTATTATTTAATTCGTTTTTTTTTATTTTTATCAAGAAATGTAGATTACAATACAGAATGTATAAGTAATAAAGATATATATTATGTATTTTTTGAATTTTGAGCAAAGTTAGTAAATGGATATCTTCAATCGAGATTTTTTGTTTCATTTTTTCCTATATTGATGATATACTAGAAAAAGTTCGACTTTGATGACAACAAAAGGCTTTATATTCGATAAAATAATTACCTTATACGAATTTAATACGATATGGGACGTTTGTTTTTACGTAGATATTGGAACGAAAATGACAATTTTTTCAAACCAAATTTTTTTACATAAATTAAATTAGAATCCTTTTTCACTTATAGCCCTTTAAAGTTTGTATTTTCTTATAATCTATTATATAAGATTTATAACACAAAAATTGATTTCACATTAAAATTTGTTTTGATTTTCGGACTGATCCGGGATTAAGAAAATTTTACGATTTTGATTGGTTAAAAGTGACAGGTGACTATCGGGTAATCTCGTGATGTGTTTGGCCTAGAAATCCTCGTGTAATTTTTCTTTTACATTAACTTCATTTTTTATTATGCAAATACAGTAGCCTTTCATTTATAATTGAAAAATGTCAGTCATGTCAAAATTTACATGAATCTAACAAAAATTAATTTTTCAAAAAAATTGCAAAATGGGCCTTTTTATATATAGATTGTGACCGTTCGGTACTGCCAAACCTCTGAAAGCCTTACAATATTCTTGTGCTTTAAGCCTTTAGCCACCATACACATATATTACAAATAATCGGTATTTTAAATTGTGAACTTAAACGAGACCAAGAGGCATACTGTATGAATATATATATATATATATATATACCGTGTTACAATATAAAATGTCACGGATGATGGTGAAATCGGATGATCGTGAAATCAAACCCTATTTAATATACGATTTTTAAAATTTTTAG